TTTGTAACAAGGCACATTGGAAACTGTGGTTATTTTACCAAGGCATTGACTAGAATGGCATATGTTCAGATATGACCAGACTGCTTTGAAGAATTGAAGTTGACTTTATAGAGACAATAAAAATTTCCTTGGAAAGACTGGCCTGGTACCTTATCTGTGTGGTTCCCTTACAAGGTTCCTGACCTGTCACAAGTAAAGAATGCCACTTTCTGACAAACGCAGGAACCTCAAGATATTTTGGGACCTTCAGAAAACAGGAATTCATGCAATTAGTACAGGTATTACCAGTCTGATGGTGAATTTTTCTCTTGGCTTCCTGGCCTTGAGGATTTTAAAATGACTAATCTGAAATTCCTTATGAAAGTCCCAGCAAAGCCAACTTTAAAAGAGGCTGTATAGTCAATCACTATTCTTGCTGCATTTTATGCAAATTATCAGGCCACGTTTAATGAGACTAAAATCTATTTTGCAAATAAATTGGTCCTACTGTGATTTACCCTTGGTAAAAATGGGGAGACTGGAGAGAGAAAAATTATGTTTCAGAAGAAAACTATAGTACACTCATTATTAGATTCTAACTGTAAGCATTGTTTTTGAGTTTTTATTATTTGCCTACAATTTGGGCTAAGCCCTGAATTATTTTCTTGCTACAAGTCTCTAAAGAAGAACAGGGTTTTAGGCCGGGCGCGGTGGCTCACGCCTGTAATCCTAGCTCTCTGGGAGGCCGAGGCGGGTGGATTGTTTGAGCTCAGGAGTTCGAAACCAGCCTGAGCAAGAGCGAGACCCCGTCTCTACTAAAATTAGAAAGAAATTAATTGGACAACTAAAAATATGTAGAAAAAATTAGCCGGGCATGGTGGCGCATGCCTGTAGTCCCAGCTACTCGAGAGGCTGAGGCAGGAGGATCGCTTGAGCCCAGGAGTTTGAGGTTGCTGTGAGCTAGGATGACGCCACGGCACTCTAGCCCGGGTAACACAGTGAGACTCTGTCTCATAAAAAAAAAAAAGAAGAAGAAGAACAGGGTTTTAATTTTCTTCATGGTGTTATTAGTTGACTCCCTAATGAAATATTTTTTTTAATTTTGTTTTTCATCCCGGCATAAAATTCTCTTTTGATATAATCCTTGTGCGCATGGTTCAAATTACTGATGTTATATATCTCTCATTGTTTTATGTCTTCTGAGAAAACTAACATCATGATATTCTGAAGACTAGAGATGATTCAACAAAGCCTGCTGTTGTCTGTATTGCTGCAGCCTCTGCTTACACGTAGAAAACATACTGATGCAACGTGTCATCCACACTCTCCCCTCTAAAGATTTAGGAACCATCAGGAACTAGGAGAGCACACGAGATTGTAGGAGCCAGATTAGGGGGGTAGATTATGGAAGATAAAATAACTCCATCTTGGATGCTAATATACCATGATGACTTCTGATTAGCCCCAGTTCTGGGATTGCCTCTAAGATTTCTACTTTCATGTACTTACCATAAATCCTGCCTTCAGGTCAAAAACTTACCATAAATGCTGCCCTTAAGCAAATTCTTGCCTTACCCTGAGGGTCAACTTCAATTGTCCTACACATTCCCTCAGTATTTAAGCCCTGGGTCTGTCTATAAGTCCCTATTAAATGTTTCTTTCAGAGAAACTGGATTTGTCAGCCTCTTTCTTCAGCCTCTCAGCTTCCTTGGACTTTGTGAGTAGGTTTGCATAGATATGCCCACCAAAGAACACTTTGTAGTAAGTTTAGAAACTGGGAAGTGTGAGCCTTCCAATTTTGTTCTTCTTTTCAAGATTGTTTTGGGTATTCTGGGGTTCTTGAATTTCCATATGAATTTTAGAATAAACTTGTCAATTTATGCAAAGGTGCCAGCTAGGATTTTGATAGGCATTGTATTGAATCTGTAGATCAACTTGGGGATTATTTGCATCTTTACAATATTAAGTCTTCTGATCCATGAATATAGATGTTTTTCCATTTACTTAGGTCTTCTTTAATTTCTTTCAACAAAGTTGTTTAGTATTCAGAATGTAAGTTTTTCATTTCTCTTGGTAAGTTTATTCCTAAGTATTTCATTGTTTTTGATGCTCATCTAATAAGTCACATTATTTTTTAAATCCATTTTAACCTCTGAAATCGAGATGTATCTTAGAATCAAGGGCATATTAGCATTATGTCATAGTTTCATTGGCAGTAATTTTTTTTATCTTAATGAACATACATGTGACTTACAATCAATGGCTTCTCAGAATCAATACAATATGATATTAAATGTGAAATGTCCATAAAACATCGAAGTGGAGAGGGAAAGTAAGCATTTGGATATGTCAATTTGGAGCACAGAAGAGAGGTTTGAACTAGAGATAGAAATGTGGGGGTCATCTGAAGTTTGTTATTTAAAGCCACAACAGTGAATGAGATTCCTTTAGGGAAAGAGTTATAAAGAAGACAAGACCATCCAGGTTGCATCCCTGAGAAATGTCAACAAGTAGAAGATGAGTGGAAGAGTAAGAGCCAGCAAAGAAAACATTTGAGTTTATTGTTGTTGCTATTGCTGTTGCTATTACTTGTCACTATAAATCTGTCAGAATAATCTTTTTATTTGGGAAATAATATGTTGATTAATCACACTTCCTTTCATCTCTGAATATCTGACATGAATACAAATAATAAGTAAGCCTTTCAGGTCTTCAGGGAAGTATTTTAATCTGCTTGTGACTTTGGATAAAATACGCACAAGTTTATTGCATATTAAACTTGAGTAATTGTCTAAAGGCAGAAGAGGAAAAATAGGAGAAGTATTGTAGCATTCACAATTAAAAGCAGAAATGTGTGTAGAAATCCTTCTAAGGAGTTTATATCCCATTTGCTGTCACATTTCTATAATATAAGCAGGACACCATCTGGTAGTAATGTTAATTCATTTACCTTTCATTTACTGTTTGTCACTTCACAGATGTTGTATCTTATCCATTCCTTTTTTTCATATTTTTCTTTGCATTCTAAATGCCCTAAGCATCACATAAAGTTACCATTATGCCACATCCTCTAGGCAGTGGTTCTCAGGGGAGATTTTGACCCCCAGGGAACATGTGACAATGTCTGGAGATATTTTTAGTCTGGAGATGGGTGCTACTGACATCAAGCAGGTAGAAGACAGGGATGTTGCTAAACATCCTACAATCCCCAGGACATATCCCGATCCCCTTAACAAAGAATCATTCAATCCAAATTTCAATGGTACTGAGATTAAGAAACTCTACCTATGAGAGTAAGTTTATATGTATATGAACTTTCTGGAGGCAAAGTCCATAGCTTTTACCAAAGTTTCAAAGGAAGTATGACTCAAAAACTTAAAAAGAACTGGCTTTAATGGATAGTTCATCTAGGCCATGGTAAAGAGTGACATATTAACCTACCTCACAAGAGTAGTCACCTCTCTAGTTAAGGAGACTTATCTTTGTCAGCCAGATTTCACTGTCTTTTTCCACTGTTCACTGTCACTCACAGCTAGTCAAACACAGACAGCTCTTTGGATTTCCTATCTCTAGGGTCTCCAAGTACCTCATCCTCTATCAGCCACATTAATACAACTATTATGGTTTTGGTGACTGTTGATGATTCAGCTATAGCTTTATTTGTTAGTTTAAAAACCTGCTCTCTTTAAAAGCACTCAGTTCATTTGGTCAATATCCATTTATTCAATGCTTCCTATGTTTAACACGCTGCTACTCACTGGGTATGTAGTGATGAAAATGATTTTACAATCTAGTACAAGAGAGTGATGACTACAATCTAAACATGTAATCTTGTCCAGAGCATAAGTGACGGTGAGGAGAGCTAAAACGAGGATAGATAGGACTACACAGCCAGATCACTGCACGCCACCTTTCATTTCGTATTCCATCCTGCTCAAATGTCAAATTCAATAGGCAGTTAATTCCTTCTTGGCTAGTTCAAAAATTCTGTGTCATCTACATCCCAGTCCAGGTTATCTGGGATAAATTAAAATTCAACCTACATCTCCTGGCACTGACAAGCCAGGCTGGGAGAGTGAAGACTATGGGCAAAGTGAGAACATCAAATGCAAAAGCCTTTTTCTTTTTATCACCAATGCATCTAATTAGAAACCAATGTGTGTGGGGGTGAGGGGGTAAAGATGCACAATAAAGCCGATGTCTAAAATGCCATTTCCAGATAATCAGCAAATGTAATAATAGTTACAATTGCCATAGCTCTTAATCAGATATTGAAAGTTTGCTGCCACTGCCTGGAGAGAAAAAGAGAAAAATTTAACCCCCCCCCCCCAAATATTAGCAACTCAGTGCTGTATACTGTTAGTAGTCAGCCTAAGCCGACCAGGAAGACCTGGCCAGTAATTTTTCATGGGGCTGTCCGGTTTGAATGTAGAACTCACTAAAAGCCCAGGTTGGTAAAATAACTAGGGTTTCCGTGGGAGTGAGGTAAAGGGTGCCAGTGAGAGAACAAAGGCTGCGCGTCCGTGTTAGGGCCGCTCGGCCCTGAACTTCACTGGGGGCGGGGCAGCGGGTGCGCCCGGGCAGCGGGGGTCCGGGGTCGGTGGCCCACGCGGCGGCCCGGGATCCTCTCCCCGGCCGGTGCCTCTCAGTCGGTGCACAGTAGGGCGCCGCCGAGACGGGCACGCCAGACACGGCGGCGCGTGAGAAAAGGAGCGGGGCCAGAGGCCGGACCGCCGCCTGCCTGAGTGACCAAGCGACCAACCTCGGAAACACGCTACAGCCGGTCACGCGCCAGGACCGATATCACGCGGCTGCCAGGGCCGGGTGAAAAGGCCACCCGGAGAGAAAGACCGCTGGAGAGGAGGAGCGCCCAGGGACAGAGGGCGGCGCCCCCTGCAGTTCACGTCGGCCAGGACCCGCCCCTCGCGCTTATGTAATAGGGGCGCGCTGCCATTGGCCCGCGCGACCGGAAGGGGCGCAGGCGTGCGAGCGGGTGGGGGCGGGGAGGAGGCCGCAGGAAAGCGGGTGGGCGGGGCTGCAAGGAGCAGGCGGTGCCGGGGCGCCTGGGAGAGAGGCGCAGCGTGCGCGGGCACGAGGCGTAGTGGCTTCCCCTAAGGCTGAGGCGGCGGCGGGCGCGCGGCGGTGGCGGGCGTGCGAGGCGCGGGCTGTTGTGCTCCCGGCTCTCCTCTTTCCCCTCCTTGGCGGGTAGAGGAGGCCAAAGCGGTGCTGGGCGCGCTCCGTCTTCCTCTCCCTCCGGCGACCTACCCCGGCCCTCTCGCGCTACGCTGTCTCTCCGACGCAAGACTGTCCCGGCCCGGGTGAGCGGCAGCTGGGACACCGCTGACGCCGTAGGGCGCCCCGGAACCGGCGTGGTGGGTGGTGAGGGCCGTAGGGGTCGCGGCGGGTCGCGAGGGGCCGCCGGCCTCCCTGGGGCTACAGGGCCAAGCTCGTCCCGGCGCGGGCCGCGGGAAGGAGGGGAAGCTCGGGCGCCTGCCAGGCCCTGCAGGTGGCCGGGTCACTGGCCAGCCGCGGGAGCGGAGCGGTAACCTTACCCCCTGGCGACAGCAGCTGGTCGGTTTCTGGAGGCTGGGGCTCCCCATGGCCGAAGGGGCCGGGTTTTGGGCAGTCAAGGCCTCCAGGAGGCGCGTCTTGGGCCAGGGTCCTGGAGGTCTGGCAAGTAGGTGGGGGCTGTGTGGCCTTCGGTGGCAGTAAGGAGGAAGGGGTTGCAGAGACCGGAGAGTCCAGTTTGGGAAGGAAGGTGCGTCAGGCTGCAACTGGAGTCAGTGTAGTGTTGGGTGAAGTAGACCTTACTTCTGGTATGTGCTTCTGCTCCTCTCCCCAAAGCGATGTAGTTAAAAGCTGGGTCAGGATGTTGAACAGTGCCTGGGCCTCTTCCTTTCAGATGGTTATGGAGAACGAGCCTACTTCCTGAATCCAAAATCCTTTTCTTCTTACTCATTTGTGTTGGTTTTAAAAGGATCTTTGGGGCAGTGCTTACTTGTTGCCTCCTGCGAGAGCACCTCATTTAAGAACTTGTTCGTCCTACTACTTCCTTCTTTGCAGCCCCCTCGGAAAACCACACTAAATAGGAGTTACATCAAAACCAGCATGTACATATTTGTAAATGACTTCTTGCCCTTCAGCTTGTCGCATTTAATCAAGGAGCAGTTATGCTAAAGATTTTGTAGAAAATTCCATTGGCTTGAGAACAAGTCCTAAGTTGAGCTGTCCAAAAGCAGGTGGTTTGTTCTTTTGCATTTCTGCTTTCAGAAAGGAAATCAATGCAGTGTGTTGTCAGAAGTTAGGGGCCTACCCCACGCATTTAGCTTGTGTGGTTCAATTTCCTTTACCTGGCCTTAAGTTTTCTGTTTTAAGAATAAGCGACTGCTGCCTCTTTTATTTATTAAGGCTGTTTTGACTTTTTTGTTACTGTTGTTAGGTGATGATGGAAAATGGGTTAAATCTATTGCATAATGTTATATTTTAGGGAAAGTCCTAAATGCAAAAGTTAAAAATAATTTTGTGTATTTAATGACACTGCTTTTACAGGTCCTGCATGAAAATATTATCAAAATAGCTAATAACTTCTAAATAACAAACTTCTGGAATTAGTGGCCTGCCATTTTATAAGATTTTTTTTCAATGTGAAACAATTAAGTTACCCACAGGATAAGTATGTTAAGATACATATATTGTGCAGAAGAGTTAGGATGTGTAAGAGGACTGAAGTTTTCTAATATAAAGTCCCAATACTAAGACACAGACATTAAGAATGTAATAAAACATTGGTATACATAAAGATTGAACACCTGATTACTATCATTCAAATAATACATATGTATCCAAACCTGTTTCCATGGGAATAGGTTTGTAAGCTTGCCATAGCATATAGACTTAAATATACTTCTTAAAAAATCATTCCATTTGGCTCAGAATTAGTAAGGATCTGATCTTAAAAATGCAAAAATGGAAGCTTAGTCTTTAAGGACTAACACAGCTGGTAATATTTACCGTTGTTTGGTGGGAATGGGGTTCTTATATTAGGCTAGCATACTATACATTTTTGTAATTGGTACAATGTTCAACTGACTTTCTAGAAAAGCATCGATCCTCTTCTATATTTTATATGACTTTCAGTTCAGTGTTTAATGCTAGTGGGAACTTTTCCAATCAGCGTATTTATTTTTCTAGTTTTCCTTTTGGCGGGTGTGGGGGAACTCTGTTGTTTCTATGAAATGCTTTGACCTCAGATCCATTTGCTAATTAGCGTTCCAGTCAGAAAAAGCCAGCACTATTTACTGGTGAAGTCGTTGTAGATGCATTGTGTGTTTATGCCCTGCAATGATTTGGAATTTAATTACAATGCTAGTCAAAACTATACATAGGAATTCTACTTACGATCCAATTTTAGTATATTTAAAAAGCACTTGGGATTCATTATAGACCCCTTATGAATGGATTTAACTTGTATGGTGTAATTTTAATGGAAAAGTAAAAGTAATTTTTTTCAGTTGCTTATTTTTATTTTTAACCCATTTAGGTTCACTTTAGACCATCAGTAGTAAAAACGTGGTATCTTTTAACTTTGTAAAAGAACCCTTTTACCAGATTCATTCTCAGCTGGAAACTAATTTAATGTTATTTTATAATTTGTACAGCAATCCAACAAAGACCAACTTTTTAGAAAAATTTAGAATAACAGTTTTATAAAACCTAAGTATTTAAGAGAACAGTTCCCACCTGTTCCTATGGTCTCCTTAAGAAGGATTAGCTGACAGCTCTTATTTCTCTTAAAGTTGTAAGAATTGCAAGTCAACAATACTGGGAGGGGAAAGTACCTTTGCAAAATGATCAAATAAATGATTGAGGAGCCTAAACTTTTGAAGATTACATACAATAAAATGCACAAATCTTAGGTATACAGTTAAGTGAATTTTTACAAGTAAACACATCTGTGTAACCATTACTTGGTTCAAGATATAGAACAGTTTCAGCACTGGATAAGTCCCTTTCATGCTCTCTCTTCCCAGTCATTACCCCCAAGGTGACCTCTTTCACAATAGATTAGCTTGGTCTGTTTTGAACTTTATATAATGTAAATTTTTTGTAACTGGCTTCTTTCCTTAATATGGAGCTACAACCAAGTTTTGTGACAATTTTTTTGAATGCTGCATAGTATTTCCTTGTATAAATATTGTAAAGATACATATATACAATCTGTGTATCTGTTTTACTATTAATGGGCATTTACATTGTTTCTAGTTTTGGGACAGGTCCTCTGAATGTTCTTGTACACGTTTTGGTGTATATAATATTTGCATTTCTGTTGGTTATATATACCAAGAGTGGAATTGCTGGATCATAGAGTAGACAGTTACCAACTGGTTTTCCATAGTGGTTGTACCAGTGGATACTTTAGTAGCATTGTACGTGAGAGTTTGAAAATCCATATATTTTAAGTTGCCAGATGTTTCTATAAAACTTAAGGCTTTAACGTCGAGAAAGTTATTATGCTCAGGTTACTCCATATTAGAGTAAATCACTCTAATGCCTCACCTTCTGTTTTTAGATATGGCTCGTGGACAGCAGAAGATCCAGTCTCAGCAGAAAAACGCCAAAAAGCAAGCTGGACAAAAGAAGAAACAAGGACATGACCAAAAGGCTGCTGCCAAAGCTGCCTTAATATATACCTGCACTGTCTGTAGGGTAAGGAGAATTGAAAGACAGCTTTCCTGTGGGCAGTTCTTTCATTATAAACTTGTTTGTACAGATTAAAATTTTGAAACTGTAACAAAATAGATGCTTTACTTGAAATAGTAGATTTGAGAGCTGGTTATTTCAGGAATCCATTTTCATTCAACAGATATTTTTTGAATGGCTCCTGTGGCCAGGCACAATCCTCTAGGTGCTGGAGAAACGGAAAGAACAAAACCCCTTCCCTCATAGAGAATAAAGATGTCTTCATAAGGGCATATAATATACTTTGAACTTTGTAAGGAAGTCAGATTTACATTCTTAGAGCTATGTAAGATGCTAGTGAATACATCTCTGGTTATATAATTGGCTTTTTTTTCCTTCACTAACTCTATAATTAGGAGGTCTACAAAACTATATAGAATATATTCATGTTAAGGGCTTTTACTGGAATGAATGTGTTTTACTAGATTTGAAGAATAGTAGTAATAACAACTACTACTACTGAGTGCTTTCCATGTGCCAGGTACAGATCAGGTGTTTTGCATGTATTCACTTATTTAATCGACATGACAACCCTATGAGATAAAGTACTTTTATTCCCATTTTACAGGAGAGTAAACTGAGTCATAAGAATTAAATAACTCATGTGGGGTCACCCAGCTAGTGAGAAGAGCTGGTATCTGAACCTTGGCAATCCAGCTCCAGAGTCCACCCTCTGGACCACTATATACTGCCTTTCAAAGAAGTCCTTCTGAAATTCCAAATCAGAGTCTCTTTCTTGCCTGTTTGTTTAAGCTCATTACTCTTGAAGTTAGTAATGGCAGTGCCAAAGGAAAAAAGCATAGTGGGGTTAGTCCAATACATACACATATGTATAATTTGCAAGGCCCTATACCTGGGTAGGATTGATGATATGAATGGGAAGGATCTTGGTAAGATGTGGTTTCTAGACTGAAGTTTGTTATCTTTTGAACTCATTTTCAATGATGTAGAAATTCCTAACGACATGAAAGTTCTTGATAATCTAAGAGAGGGACTCTATTATGTTAAATATCTTACCTATAGCAAGCTTTGATACAATCAAAATAATGAAAGTGAGTAGCTTCTGATTCTGTTTAGAAAGAGGCAGGGTGAAAATAAAATTTTACTAGATTAGGGATGAAGAAATAACTTGACCTAAAAGTACTAGAGTAGTTCACGTATTTAAAAACTCAAAACCAAAAACTTTTATTTCGTGTTTGTGTAATTGGGTATGTTGAAGAATAAATAATTGAAAGTCGTTGCCAAGGGAAGTCAGTATAGTGTAGTATTTGACAGCTGAAGTAGCTAGTGCTAGATTAAAATAAAGGACTTGGGCAAATTAAACTCTGGGTTTTAGTTGTCTTATCATGTAAAATGAGGATGATAGGAGATGCTCAAGATGACTATGAAAGTTCTGTGAGAATTAAGGTAACATGTTTACTATAGTAAGGATTCAGTAAATGTTACCTATTGTTTGATGTTGATCAGATGAACAGTATACATTCTGTGTGACCTACCCCTTCTTTATATGTAAAATGTGAGAATGTTAGGAATTTCTTTGTCACAGAGCCCTTCTTCATATGCCAACCACTAAGTTGTAGGAATTTAAAAGTATTTTGTGATAATTGTCTATCATGAGCAAGTTCAGGATTTTAAAAGGTAGCACATTTTTATTTCATAAAGTCTAGCTTTCTTTTTTGCACAATTTTTTTTTATTAGACACAAATGCCAGACCCTAAGACCTTCAAGCAGCACTTTGAGAGCAAGCATCCTAAGACTCCACTTCCTCCAGAATTGGCTGATGTTCAGGCATAAAGTTGTTTACAGGTAATTGACCTCTTTTTATATTGGTTTGTTATTGTCAGCATTGTATACAGGACCAAAACTATCCTATGTAATTCTGAAATTAATTTCTGCCTTGTGAGACTTTATTGCCTCCCCTTTTAAAGTTAATGTTTAACTTAATTTCATTACTAGAACTTTACAATTGTTACTTAGAATTTACTAGAACACTTTACAATTATTAAAAGTCCTTTTTCCCAGACCATTTCTTTTCAATGCCTTTGAAACACCCAAATTTGTACTACTTTAGCCAAAAATGGCGGGATGAGTAGATGCTGGCCAACTTTGGTCCAGGAATGGAAGAGACGTATCAGCTTAAAGAAAGTAGTGATTATAAAGATATTTGAGGGTCTCCCTCTCAGCAATGATGCAGACCAATGATCCTGAGCACCTTTTTACACTTACTTAACAATGCTTAGCAGAGCTTCTGGGTATTAAAATATAGGGCAAAAAATGTAGGCATGCACTGTATAAACTTGATAGTTGCTTGAAAATCATCAGTTTATGCCTTCTATTATGACTGGGTTTTTTTTCCCCTAAATTGTGGGGTAGGTGGTGGGGGGGGTGTGTGTGAGAATTGTTTTTAAAGTAAATTCATCGGCCAGGCGTGGTGGCTCACGCTTGTAGTCCTGGCACTCTGGGAGGCTGAGGCGGGAGCATTGCTTGAACTCAGGAGTTCCAGACCAGCCTGAGCAAGAGCAAGACACCCTTCTCTATTAAATAAAAATAAAAATTATCTGGGCATGGTAGTATGCGTCTGTAGTCCCAGCTACTCACGAGGCTAAGGCAGGAGAATCTCTTGAGCCCAGGGAGTTGGAGGTTGCTATGAGCTAGGCTGATGCCACCCCGCACTCTACCCTAGGCGACAGACAACAGCAAGACTCTATCTCAAAAAATAAATAAATAAATAAAGTAAATTCATCACAGATCTGATTATAAAGTCCAGTTGATAAAGCTATCAGTGACTACTTTGACAGTCTTCTTAGACATTTGAAATGCATATAAGTTGTAGTGGTTACATTCACTGAAAATTTTGCTTATGTTTTATAGGTGAATTCATGACACCTTTGACTCTTCTACTGTCTCAGACCTTAGGTAACAAACCTGCAACTGCTTTTCTAACAAACTGTTGATCAGCAAAAATAAAGGGGCTACAGAAACACTCATTTTTATGCTGTTCCCTTTTGGGCTTCATGCAAAGACAATTCTATGTAAATGTACAGTTGACTCTGATTTGGAAACCTGAAAATCAGTCCATCCTTGTTATAAAAAATTTTTTTACAATTGTAATTATATTGATGTTCATATTGTGTAAAATAACTCATTTAATAAAGTAGTACTTTGATTTTACAACATCACAGGATAAATGGTTCTAGAAATTCTGTTCTAACTTTCTACATTATTTGCCTTATAAAAGTCTAATGAATTTATCAGCTAGAATTGCAAGTGCAATTCTTACCTCCCTTTCTCAGCTCAGTGGCAGGTTCATTAGTTAAACTAGAGCAGACTCATTCATTAAAATTGTGCACACAAATTTATTGGCAGCTGTTGATCTAGGTGAAGAGTGACTTACCTGCTGCCTTAGAGTATTGCAATTGGGTATCATTGCCCCCCCCGATCATTTCCTGTGTTTGATGTTGGAACATTTAAACTTACTGTATGACCTGACTCTAGCTGCCAGCCAGCTGTCCCCTGCAGATACTGATAAATTCCTAAAAGCAGTTGGATCATCAGTGAGCCCTTCTAAAAGAGTAGGTTCTGAAGTATATGCCATATGAAATAATCATTAAGTCCATTGTTTAATACAAAGTAAGATAGAACAAAGTAAACTGGTAAAGGTCTATCTTTTATAAGTGATGCTGGATTCTCTGGAAATTCTTCGAGTTCTTTAATTTGAAATTGAAACATAATTTTTGAAGAACTTTTTGGAAGTTATTAACCACTTGGCCAATTTTGTAAATGGATTTGCACTAACAGGAAGATTGGAATGACTTATGTCTGGATTAATTTCCGGAACCCTCTTTCTTTTCTAAGTGAGTTGTTGATTTTAGGATTTTACTTTGTGTTGGTTCCTAAAATCAAAGACTATACAATATGACTTAAGTATGAACTAGAAAAGTATTGAAATAGACCAATACTGGCATTCTTTTGGATCTAAGGATGGGGAAGTGGGTTTGTTCAGATGGATAAGTTAAATCCTACCCAATTAAGGAAGACTAATTTTAGGGTTCTTCTAATTTGCTTTTGTCAATTCTTGTGTAAGTGGAACTGCTGTACTTCAGTTTTCATTTTAAAATTAACATAATAGGAAGAACACTAAAATATTTACTGGTAACTGCTTAGAGCTGCATATCTGATCCTGTGGATTACAAAATGCATTCCCTCTTTATGCTGTAATTCATCACTGCATTTGTTTTGTAGCTCTGCATACTGCCCACCTTGTTTGTCTTCACTGTAAGTTTAAAATATTTCCAATGAAAAGCTTCAGTGCTGATAGTTTCTTAGTGACTCCTATTCTTATACCTTTACTTTAAAATACAATTCTTTTGTTTCATGTATTTAAGTTTCAGATTTAACATCTGTTGTTTCTTAGTATGTTGGTTACCAGAACATTAGAATTTTACCTAATTTCTTGTGGGTATTACAGAAGTTCTGGTTAAATTACAATTTAAACGTTTTTAAAAGTGCTTTGAGTATATGTATGTTTATGTTTAGTAACAAATCATTTAAAACCATTCACAAGTTTTGGTTTAATTTTTTTCATTTGTTTTACTGACTGTAATTCAGAATGAAAGTTTTTCTTGTATTTAACCCTCTTTTATAAGCAGCTGAAGACACCATATTTAACTCTGTATCTCAGTGATAGGTAAATAGCTGCATTGATCTTACATAAGACATTAATTCTTATACTTCATGTGGGGATTATTACAATCAATCCCCTTTTTATCGTGTTTGAGTTAAATCTGCTATAAGGATAAAATTACAATTCTAAAAACATCCTTGTTACTTAATTTGAAGATTCTTTAGCAGATTGCAGCAAAAGTTCATTATAAAACTGTTATGGTGTCTTCAAAGACTTGATAAAATACACTGAGAAAGAATTGGTCCGTTTCTATTCTGTATTTCCATTAGTTGCCAAAAGGAATGGGGTTAAGATTCCACTTGTTCCATTCTCTTCATATGGATCTATATCCCCATGTTTAACTGACACACTGGGGGCTCAGTTGTGTGCTGTAATGTCTTATTAAAGAAGATATTAAAGAAAACTAAACTAGTCTAATTTCTTCTACATTTAAGAGGTTTTCGTATTGCCTCTTCCCCGCCCCGCCCCCCTTTTCCGAACTTAGAATTGTCTTTTGAGTGTAGCTCAGTAATTCTAAGGGTGGCAAGAGATTTCTTTCATTTCTTGTTGTTTTCCCTGCAGTCTTTGTCTACTTTGGGTCTGCAGAATACTTCTTAAGAATGAATGGGAAAAGTTTGTCATTTTGAAACCTTATTATATAGAGTAGATGTGAGTTGTTGGAAGGGGGAAGTAATTGTCTATTAACATAAAAATGCTAAAGTGAAAAATGCCTAGGTCAGTTAATTGATGGATGTCTTTGACATTGACTAAGATTTGAGATAATACTTTTAGCTTTATGTTAAAGATACTGTATAGGTAATTAATCACATCATAATTCAAATCTGAGATGTAGAATAAGATAGAATTTACCAACATTACTATTTTATTAAAAATCTGTTTTATTTTTATTAACATGTAATATATTGTACCTATTTTTAAATGTGGTTAATGTAAAGGCCTTTTTCTATAATATGGTGATCAACCACAGTTCAAAATATAGCTGAAATACTATATTTAAACTACTCAGTCTGAATTAGTTCATTTGTACTCGATTTCTAGTTTTTTGGTTTGGTTTTGGTTAGATGTTTTTAAAGTATATGGTAATGGCGATCAGCACTAGGGGGTTGTGCTTGCTGTGACTTTACATGCTATTTATAAAATAGTTTAGGCTGCCTTAATTTTATCTATTCTAAAGGTTTCATAAAAGTCTTAAGAACTTCCAGTGTGTAAGTTTAATAAAACACTTATCTACTTAACAGAGAAAATAGATGTTTTAATAAAAGTTCAACCTGTCATCCACTGTGGATTACCATGTTAAACTGAAAATATTTTAAATGTTCTTTTAATAAGCTGTTTACTGAGTTATCTTTTTTTGAACTGCAATTCTTTAGCTTCCATTCTTTTTTTTTTTTTTTTTTTTTTTATTGAGACAGAGTCTCACTGTGTTGCCCGGGCTAGAGTGCCGTGGCGTCATCCTTGCTCACAGCAACCTCAAACTCCTGGGCTCAAGCGATCCTCCTGCCTCAGCCTCCCGAGTAGCTGGGACTACAGGCATGTGCCACCATGCCCGGCTAATTTTTTGTATATATTTTTAGTTGTCTGATTAATTTCTTTCTATTTTTAGTAGAGACGGGGTCTCGCTCTTGCTCAGAGCTGGTCTCGAACTCCTGAGCTCAAACAATCCGCCCGCCTCGGCCTCCCAGAGTGCTAGGATTACAGGCGTGAGCCACCGCACCTGACCTTTAGCTTCCATTCTTTGCTTTAAATATATAGTATGGCTCCAAATTTTAAATCTGCACATATAGAGACAGACTTTAGCCATTTATTTATATTGACATGGATATATCTTCAGTATGAAGTAATTGTTAATTCTACCATTAGCTAGTATTATTTGAGGGTTGTAAGGAAGAAAGACTATCCTTATCCCAGATTTTTGGGGGATGAGCTCTCTGAATGAGAAGTTTTCTGTACACCATTACTGAAGCCCTCTCTTTTAAATCAATATATTTATTAAGAGTAATATATGTGAAGTTGCTTTATAAGCTATAAAGTATTATATATAAACAATATATTATACAAAGGAATATAGCAAAGATCCCTAATCTTTAAAAATTAAAATGCATTCTGGAGATAATACATATATTTATTTATAATTTTAGACTATATGATTAAGTGCTTGGTGTGTTTTATAGACAGTAACTTAAGGAGGGAGATATATATATATATATATATATGACATGACTTGTGGGTTGAAGAGGTCGATCTGTGCCTGGAAGGATGGGGAGTCATCTGGGGAGGAGTAGGAGTGAATAGGGAAATCAAGGTGGAGGTGGCTGAGTGAGCAAAAGCTCAGGCGAGTATATAAAGTCTCTTTGAGAGAAAGTGAGTAGGCCAGCCGGAGCATAAGGCTTGTGAATGAGAGCCTTTGAGCCCATGGATGAGAGTGGGGAGAAGTCATTAGAATGGGACCAGATTGCGCAATGCATACACACTGCAGAAGATTGTTCAAGTTATTCCTGACACTGGGGACTCTTTCAGGGTTTGTGGGGAGGGGCGACATGATACAAGTATGTTAGAAGATTTATATTTGAAATATTATGTTGGTATTGGTTTGATACAACCTCTTGTACCTTTCCTTGTTAACAGAGTTTACTGTGCATAATTTAACTTTTGGTTATTCTAGGTTGTTATGAATGTAGATTAACAGCCAAGAAAGTTGCTCTGCTCTAATGCAGTCATACTGCTAGGGCCCAAAGAGCTGTATTTAGGGATGTTTGCCCCCTGCACTAAATGATCCCAACTACAATGTCTCTACGTGATATTTTTTGTCTTCTGCTTCATTATAAAAGTAATACATTTTGAAATACATTTCATTATAGAAATCTGGAGAATATAGGAAAGTTGAATATTAAAAATTTACCAGTACAAAAACATTTTGGTGAATAGTATCTGTGTTTCTCTGTTCCCACTCCCCATACACAAACACATATCTGCGCACGTCTTTTTTAAGTTAACATAGTTTTGAATTTTGTAGTCATTTTTTGTGTATTATGCCTTCATACTTTGCCATTTCGTTTAACGTCATAACAAGTGGGTTTTTTATAAACATTATATAAGTGGAGTTTTTGTGGCTGTATAAATATCTGTTGGATAGATTTGCTGTAATTTTGTAAAGATTTTCCTGTTGGACATTTAGATTTTCTCTAATTTGTGTAGAATGTTTTATTTTCCCATTTAGAATTATGCATCATAAACTTTAAAGCTCTTGCTGAAGAGTGTATATTTTATTAAAATAGAAGATGAGAGAGAACTGGAGTTGCAGACTAGATAGCATATAGGGGCAGGTTACACTTGACCAATGGTGTGAGTGTTATTGCATTACCTTTGTTTGAATACTGGCAGCTTTTCATGAATTTGATAGTTTAAGTGTAATGTATTTCCTTGATTTCTAGTGGAAACGAACATTTTTCTTTTTAATATAGAAGTCCATAACTCATAAAGAACATGAACATTTTAATTAT